AGGTAAGTACTCGTTTATGTGATTTATAACTACAGTTTATATTCGATTAGTGATACTTTAATGGCAATATCATTAAAATCAAACAGAGTGAAGGGTATTAAGGATCCTTGTACCACTGCACTGCCAGAAACTGTAACTACGCATCGGAAAATGTTGAAATCTTTTTCTTAATTACAGCAATGAGGTCAAAGGTCAACTTTAAGTGCTAGGCGGGGGTCAAATGTCAACATGGGTTAAAAACTTTAACAATCTTCTCAAGTTCCATAAGGCCCAGGGTCATGAGATTTGGCCAGTAGGTACCTGGGATGGAGTGCTATAAAGTTTCTTCATTAAAATGATCTTTACCTATTTTCAAGGCCACAGGGGTCAAATATGTTAAAAACTTCAAACAACAATATCCTAAGAACCATTTGGTTTAGATTTATGATACTTTGGTATGTTATGCAGACCAGCTGTGTGAATCTTTTTCTTTATTACAGTAATGAGGTTGAAGGTCAACTTTAAGTGCTAGCCAACAAGGTCAACATGGGTTCAATCTTTAAAACTAAAATTTCAAATTTCAAACAACAATATCTTAAGAAGCGTTTAAAAGATGTTAAAATGTCGCGTTCGAGTTACCAAATTTGGTCTGAAGTTACCTATATGTCAGTTTTATGTAACAAAAATAACAGGTAAGCCATACAGGCCCTATTTACATCCAAGGTCATTTAAGGGCATGCCTCCATGTGTGTTGTGTAAGCATGCATGTGTGTATGTGTGCTGGAGACAGGGTATGTTGGGTTTAACGATTAACATTAAAGCCAGAAGTGAGGTATTGCCAAGCTAGGCACTAGGAAATAAAAGGTAGTTAGAAGTAGAAAGAAAGATATTACTGGTTACTAAAATTCGTCAAGTTTGACAACATAATGAATTTTACAATATACGTTACAATGATAAAAAGAAAACATTGAAATTCTCACGATCAATTTATTTAAAGGAGATACAAGCATTTCAAGGATACAATCTCCACTATGGACTGATCACACACCGGTGAATGTACAAGGCTGATACAGAATACAATGTTTGAAACAAACAAACAAACAATACATTAACACTGTATAAAGATCACATCGTATGGCTATTAAAACTGACAGGTTCAGTCAATAAATGATATCAAGTCTGTTAAAAGTATGTTATTTTACAAATCCCAAAAAATAAAAGTCAAAACTTCAGTCGCACCTCATGACACTGGAGAAGTCTCGTCCAAATTAACAAAATTTCAGGAGCACCATATTTGAAATTTTTTACTTGCATTTCTTTCTTTAATCATTTCACTACCAAATAACAGTAAGCAGGGATTCAAAAACTTTCCCCCTGATGCGGAATCCCTAAATACAGGGATTTCGGGTATTGAATTAAAGAGACTGCAACAACATACAATGTCTTTACACTACTCTTGTGTATGTTTGCATAACTTATGACGTTAGTATAATACCAAAGCAAAATTGGCTTATATAGGTATTGAGATATTTGGAGGGTTACATATTCTATAAATATGGAAATTGAAAAATTATCTGTCAGGGGAACTGCTGTCCCAAAGTGGCTTCTACGAGGGTACGGGTCAGTGAAAAGGGTTAATTCTTTGCGAGAATGTACTCACTGAACCATTGCCATAGTATACGTATGTGTTCATTATGAAAATATAATTTCTGGCTGCCTGTGCAGCAAAATCTTGTAAAAGTTGACTATGTGATCACTGAAACCTTAATCACCTACAGTATTTTACACCCAACAAAATATTAGACTGATATCACTTCCATAAGGAGTGTGACCATGGATCGTGTCTTTCCTAAAGGACTCTCTTGGATCCATATTGTGCTGTTGTTGAATCAGTTCCAGCTTATAGTAACACCAATATACCTATAGCACAGGTTACAAAGGGGTGAAGAGCTCTCCTGCTGAAAGTTTCTACATTAGTTTGTGACAAACTGTGTATCTGATGAAACCGAGACAGCTACACACCATGTTAATATTACTGACATGTAAATATATATATCACAACTTCACAAGTTATATTCATTATCATTGCACTAAAATATGAAGGTGCTAAAACATCTGGTTAGCTGTGTTTATATATACAGTGTCTTAACCCTTTCACCCCTATGTAACTTTAGTAAACTCTACTAGGTATTGATCTGGATGAGTCCATTATGGTCTATAGTGGTGAAAGGGTTAAGGATATAGGCAATATGACCATCACAAGACTGATAATGGTCTTGTTATTCTGAATAATCAAACAATGCTAACTGAAACATTTCCATGGAGACACTTCTTAGCAAATTCTTAAAGGGGGATACCTCTAACACAAATCACAAGTATAATGTGTAAGGTAGCATAAACCTTTAACCAGCCAAAATTCCAAAATGCAAAATGATTTTACATTCTGAAATTTTGTTATTAACAAAAAGAAAAGCAAATCTTCAAGAAATCAAACCATTAAATGAAAACATAATATGCATTACATAACATATAATTTAAGCACTAACAAATCATAATATTCTAAAAAGATTATTCTAAAAAAATCAGATCATCTGTCTGTCTACAGTATTGTACATTTTGTATTACATAGTACCAGCCACTTAATCTTAGATAAGATAACTAATTGTGACAAGGAACTCTAACAGAACTTTACGATTGTTTACGGGACAGCAGTTACATAGTTTTATTTGCCGTGGCGATTATTTTAACATTCTAAGATGGCATCAGATCAAGATGTAACAATTTGTCAAATTCATTACTGTAAAGCGCTTTAAATTTGCGGGGTCAATATTTCGCGGTTTCGTATTGATTATATTTTCACGGGTGTTAAATTTCGCTGTGCACCCAAATCCCATGTGTCGTGCAAAGCATTTTGAGTGTCATTATTTAAGGGTTAAACCTCAAAATACAGGTAAACCGTTTGAAAACACTGATCCCCAAAGCTGTCATCCGCCAGTGACTTCACTCGAAATAAAATAAAATGTGTACATGTATGTACCTTTGTAGGAGTAAACTGTAAATAATTAAATCACTGTGTACATATAAATATGTTGTTGCCACTTACCCTATATGTAAGTGTTGTTTTACACGGACTGCCAAGTTGTACGGTGATCATCTGATTTGACTTCATTTAAGCTTGCATTACAGTGTTGAGTTATAAGTATTTTCAACATGTTGTGATAAGGTCCGTAAAAGTGGTTAACATTTTTAGTGTTTACAATTTGCGGATATTAGTCAAAGCATGAATATACCCGCGAAATATAGCTGCTATACAGTATCACAATAGATCAACACAACTAACATCAAGACAAATCAACTCATTAGCATATAGTATTTGACTTCTATGTGAAGTTACATCGACTTGTTGATATCATAACATCATATCTGCATATCATAGTTCAAGGTAATACAGTCTTAATTTATATATGTTATGCAAATATTGTAATTTTAGACCTTACACGCACACCAAAACCTTGTTATAATGCAAACGTTCATCAAAATTCTTTTTTGCACTATAAAAGGATTTGGTACCAATATACAGAAGGAGACTTTGTAAAGAAATGTTCAGAAAAAATGAAATGGGGAACATTGGAATATGTTGGCGGTTAGCAAGATGACAAGTCAAACAAAGAGCACTATATCAACATTTTGTTGTCGTATAAAAGTGAACAACATTATATCATAGTTTTGCTGTAATTAGTTTCATGATCGTTCTTCCAACAACAAATTTTCGCTTTGGGGATTTGAAATCACAATGTTAACTAAATCTGGCTAAATGTCTGTTGCTTAAATGTTCAATTGTATCCGAAAAATATTTGTGATACATGTATATCTATTTAAATTTTCAATGAAGTTTTGTCAAACACGAATATTACAAGTTGTTTACAGTAATTATGGTAACTTGATGGTAGAAATATGACTCCATATTTATAAGTCAGTTTTATAAATCAGTAAATCAATCACATATTATCTTTACTAAAGACAATATCACAACAATAAGGACTTCTAAATAAGTATTTTAACATATATCACAAACTTTGAAGGGTCAACGATATTGCATCACCACGGCCTTGACCTTTGACCTAGTTTTGGGTAGATATCTCTAATCTTTAATGCATTGGAATGTTCATACAATTGATTTTGCATAATAGATACCAGGTAATGAAATTAATCGGTTGATTCTTCAAATATATATAAATTTCTAAAGAGTCGTTTGCAATTTCTTTTCAAATTAATACATAAAAAACCAAATTAGAATTTATTTTTTAGTTTACCACAGTCCTGGTGTAGCATACAGACACATTGTCTGTCAACCATTCGGGTTTAAAGGACAATACAAATATTTCACACTGAACTTGCAAACCTGGCACATTTCTAGATTCAATGTATAGTGCTAGTTTAAAGTGGAGATAATTACAGGCACAATGTGAATGTCAAGGTACTGATAACTGACAACCTTAACCCAAGGTAGCATACACCCTTAACTTTCACCTTGTCATACCCAGTATACTGGACAAGATTATGCATACTTTCTTCTGTTGTTTTTTGCACCAAATATTAACATGTTAGAAAGTGAACTTAACATGGTATTTTGTAACAGAATGGTAGATTTAAACAAAGGTCACAATGAATTCATCCTCGATACTCCAGGGGTTACGTTCGCTTACACTCTATGCACCCCTGAGTAATATGTCATGACAAAATGGAAGGCTCAGTGTGCACCACCTTGTGGATGAGAAGACTAATTTGACCCTTTCATGTAAATCAAAAGAATGTCGCCATCCGAAACAGTAACATTGACTTGCTTTGAAGTCGGATGTCGCTCCTCTCTTCAAAAGACAGGTATCAGTCTAGCTATTGGTCAGGTATTTTTACCTGAGACTAATCAATTTTGCCATGACATATTCCAGGGGTGGAGAGAGCGAAAGTGAGCATAACCTCTGGAGTATCGAGGATGCGCTAAATTAACCCTTTCACCACTGTAGACCATAATGGACTCACCCATACCAATGCATGGTAGAGTCTACTGAAGTTACACAGGGGTGAAAGAGTTAATCGTGGGAACAAGCAGCTACACTGGAGAACGATGACTACACTTGTTACAAGAAGCAGGAAACACATAAAACATATCTTACACATTAAAACTATTCATTATGATAAACTGCTCTTGCCTGAAAATGATGCAAAAAATAAACGTCAGAGAAAAGGTGAAAACTTTTCTTTCAAATTGAATCACAGCCTCTTAGGAAAATATGTTTCAACGAGATAATGTTATTTGTAGTCACATTCTACCAGGTAGAACAACACGTTAAGATATTGGAGGGATCCTTCCCTTACCCGGAAAGGGTTACTAAGACGGATTTGAATTTCATCACCATCCATGATATCGTACCGACTCATCTGAAGTAAGGGAGATTGGAGCTCCTGGAACAGAACCTCCTCGTTTTTGGGATGGTAGGGTCCACAGCCGTAGTGAAACAATTTATACATTTGCCTGAAAAAGAAAGACGGGAACGTAAAATTTCTGAATGAAATGACAAAGGAATTAAACAAATTATAGGAACCATGCAACCATAACGACTACACAAAGATACTGGTAGACATGTGTTTATTATGTAGGGCTCAAAGGACCAGAGGTATTGCACTACCATTTTACCTGTTAATTTGTATTTTAATTCCTACAGGTTGGTTGGAATCTGTCCAGTTGTTTAGAAGGAGATGTCATTACAGCAAATACTGTATAACAGGTTATTTATACGGGATTAAAGCTTTCTCGATTTCGACCCAAAATTTGATGTGAAAATTCAATTTAAAATGCTTATAATTTGCGATCTAGACATGTGAAGAAACCATTACCGCGGTGAAACCGGACAGGCAGCGTAGGCTTTATTACCGCGGTGAAACCGGACAGGCAGCGTAGGCTTTATTACTGCGGTGAAACCGGACAGGCAGCATAGGCTTTATTAATGCGGTGAAACCGGACAGGCAGCGTAGGCTTTATTACCGTGTTGAAACTGGACAGGCAGCGTAGGCTTTATTACTGCGGTGAAACTGGACAGGCAGCGTAGGCTTTATTACCGCGGTGAAACTGGACAGGCAGCGTAGGCTTTATTACCGCTTTGTAACCGGACAGGCAGCGTAGGCTTTATTAATGTGGTGAAACCAGACAGGCAGCGTAGGCTTTATTAATGCGGTGAAACCGGACAGGCAGCGTAGGCTTTATTACCGCGGTGAAACCAACCAAGCAGCGTAGGCTTTATTACCGCGGTGAAACCTGACAGGCAGTGTAGGCTTTATTACCGCGGTGAAACTGGACAGGCAGCGTAGGCTTTATTACCGCTTTGTAACCGGACAGGCAGCGTAGGCTTTATTAATGCGGTGAAACCAGACAGGCAGCGTAGGCTTTATTAATGCGGTGAAACCGGACAGGCAGCGTAGGCTTTATTACCGCGGTGAAACCAACCAAGCAGCGTAGGCTTTATTACCGCGGTGAAACCTGACAGGCAGTGTAGGCTTTATTACCGCGGTGAAAC